AGAAACCGTACTTTGCTTGATATGGTGAGAAGCATGCTAAAGGAGAAGAAGCTTCCTCAGAAGCTCTGGGGAGAAGCTGTTGCCACTGCAACGTATGTACTCAACAGATGTCCTACGAAGAAGTTGAAGGAAATAGTTCCTATGCAGAAGTGGACTGGAGACAAGCAAAGTGTTAGTCATCTGAAGGTATTTGGTTCTGTTTGCTATAAACATGTTCCAGAAGCCAGAAGACAGAAGCTGGATGATAGAAGCAAAGTGATGATTCTGATAGGGTACCACAGTACTGGTGCTTACAAGCTCTATTGTCCAGAAACCAATAAAATTGAATTCAGCAGAGATGTGATTGTGAAGGAATCAGAAGTTTGGAATTGGGATAAGTCTCAATCTGATTTTGATGTTAGAACCTCTGAAGAAAGGCCAGAGTTAAGAATTTCTGAAGTTGAAGTAAACCCTGATATTGACTCTGACTCTGATACTGATTCAAACTCTGAAGAAGACTCAGAAGATGAAGGTGACCCAGATGACCCAGACTCTGATGATTCAGACTCTGATGGCAATCCAGATCTTGGTGGCAATTCAGACTCTGGAAATATGCCAGACTCTGAAGATGGTCAAAGCTCTGGAGGTCAATCATCTGAAGCTAGAAACTCTGAAGCTCAAGACTCTGAACAAGTTCAGAGACCACAAAGAATCAGAAGCGTTCCCAGAAGATTTGCAGAATTTGACATGCTGCAAGACACTGAAGTAGACTCTGAAGGAGAAGTTATTCAGTGTGCCATGTTAGTAGACTCTGAACCTATAAGTACAGAGGAGGCTCTTAAGCAGAAGCTCTGGCTGAAGGCCATGAAAGAAGAACTTGATGCTATAGAGAGAAACAAGACTTGGAAGCTGACAGAACTTCCAAAAGACAAGAAAGCCATCAGCGTCAGATGGGTTTTCAAGCAGAAGTTAAAGCCAGATGGCTCAATTGGCAAACATAAAGCAAGGTTGGTAGCCAGAGGATTTCTACAGAAACCTGGGCTGGATTATTCTGAAGTGTTTGCACCTGTAGCAAGACATGAAACAATCAGAATGGTGATTGCAATAGCTGCTAACAGGAATTGGCCTCTGATGCATTTAGATGTAAAATCTGCATTTCTGAATGGTCCATTAGAAGAAGAAGTTTACGTGTCACAACCTCCTGGATTTGTGAAAAAGAATCAAGAAGGGATGGTGTACAGATTATACAAAGCTCTATATGGACTGAAACAAGCGCCCAGAGCTTGGAATCAGAAGATTGATTCATTTTTCAAGAAGCAAGGCTTTCAGAAATGTGAGATGGAGTACGGTGTCTATGTTCAGCATACTTCTGAAGGCAATATGACTCTGGTATGTTTATATGTTGATGATATACTATTGACTGGAAGTTCTGAACAGGAGATAGCCAAGTTCAAGAAGGTTCTAATGAATGAATTTGAAATGACTGATCTAGGCAAAATGACATACTTTCTAGGGATGGAGTTCAGATATTCTGAGAAAGGTATCATTTTGCATCAGCTTAAGTATGAATTAGAACTTCTGAAGAGATTTGATCTGAAGAATTGTAAGATGGCTGTCACACCTTCTGATACAAATCAGAAACTGGATTCAGACTCTGAAGGAAAGGATGTGGATGCTACAACCTTCAAACAGTTGGTTGGTTCTCTGAGGTATCTGTGCAATACCAGACCTGATATTTGCTACTCAGTTGGGATGGTTAGTAGGTTCATGAGTAAACCTAAGTGGTCCCATTACCAAGCTGCTGTCAGGATTCTGAGGTATATCAAAGGAACTCTGAAGTATGGAGTGTTATTTCCCTCTGGAGGAAATAATGAGTCAGAACTTCTGAGTTATTCAGACTCTGATTGGTGTGGAGACAGAGTTGACAAAAGAAGTACATCTGGGTACTTGTTCAAATTTCTGGGAGGTCCCATTTCTTGGTGTTCCAAGAAGCAACCTGTTGTGGCGTTGTCAACCTGTGAAGCTAAATACATTGCAGGTGCTGTTACTGCATGCCAAGCTGTGTGGATTCTGAATCTGTTGCAGGATCTGAAGATTAAGGTAGACAAACCTCTGAAGTTGATGATTGACAACAAGTCTGCAATCAATCTTGCCAGAAACCCAGTGTTGCATGGGAGAAGCAAACATATTGAGACCAAGTATCATTTTCTGAGACATCAAGTTCAGAGTGGAGTGTTAGAAGTTGTACACTGCAGCACTCAGAAGCAGTTGGCAGATGTTCTGACGAAAGCTATCAAGACTGACCAATTTCTCAGATTAAGGGATGGAATTGGTGTTACAAGTTTTGATGGAATATGAATTAAGGGATGGTATTAGTAATAATTCATATTTTATTATATTACTTTCTTAAGCCCATAAGTTTGTTAGAGGGTATTTTAGTATTTATCTTATTCTAGTAACCCTAGTTTTAGCTTATAAATAGGGTGACAATCATTGTAACTCTTAATCCTATTTCTTCTGCCGTCATTCTCTTTAATAGAATATTTCCCTATTTTCATTATTCTATCTTTGCACCAACAGTTGTGGCGTGCATGATTTTATATTGCGGTTGTGAGTGTTGCGATTGTGATTATTGTGATTGCTGCGACACATATTACAATCATCGCGGCATGAATTTTGATTGAGAGGAACTCAAAAGTTCAAAAACACTAAATATTAAGATTTTTAATTAGATTAGAAGCAAATTGAGTTTTTAGGTTTTGAAATTATGAATTATGATAAAAATTAGAGGTGGTAAAACGGATCCTATTAATTGGGCATGTTTGTTTTGTCTGTATTTTAGTGTGGGACTCACTAAGAATTTAGATCTTTATTCTCTAATGTATCTGTCTGTTGTTTTTGTGGACATTGCCATTAACATAATTTTATGTATTTTTAGGCCTAAAATCTGCATTGTCCGCAGGCATGACCCGTTCCGTTTGCAATTTTGTGCATGACAGATTGAAATTTTAAACTTGCTTATTTATGTCTGCTTTACCCTATTTTATTTTTTTTAGATTTTTATTGGACAAGATTACATAGGCAGCTATTCCCATTTGCCACCTCTAATAAAAATACTTGAAGAAACAAAGACTAAATTGTTTGACAGATTTTTAATGCAATTCGTGGATTTTAAAATTACAATACAATTGTGATATGATACTATTGCAAAGAATATCAATATTGGAGTTCTAATTGTAATTATGAATTGCAATTTAAAATCATGGTGACGCGCATTGCAGCATAAATTTTAGAGGATGATGGGATAGGTGTTTTGCTCAATGGAATTCAAATGGAACTATCACTCAATCAAATGTCCTACGTGGCAGAGAGAGAATATGCATTGAAAAATATTTTTGACTAGAAAGTGAGAAAAAATTGTGACTTATTTTGACCATAGTCTTTTCCTTTTTACCTTTGAAATTCATACAAGTGCTTGATTAATATTTCGTGTTTGTGTTTTGCATTATTCTGTTGAAGAAGTTCTTCAACACTCACCCACTTTGAGTTTTGTCAAATATAGAAAGAATTGCATGATTTTGAGTGGGATTTTGGCGTTTCTTTCAAGATCGATTCCACTAAAAAACTATCATCCAACAAATATTCACGTCCCATCTTAAGAATCTAATAATCTTTTAATAATTACAAACATCCTAAGTTTGACTCTTGATTCATGCACTAAATGTATATACTAACAATAAAAATAAACCGGGATATCACTTAATTCAATTCAGTTCACTTGATAGCTACAAATATATTTAGTTAATGTATATTTTCAAATCTGTTATATCTAATTTATTTATCAATAAAAATGAAATATTGACGGTTAAAAGTCTCTAATCAGATATTATATGATCTGAACATATATATGTAACTGAACAATAATTATTTTATAAATCAGTTTGGTAGGATTGAATTAGATACAACCACACATTCTTAAGATGGTATGAGAGTTTCGTTCAAAATCCATTGAACCACTCATCATGTAGTTCCACGTCTAGACGTGTTTATAAACCGGGACAATTATCATCCTACAAGTCAATTTTTACAGATTTTGATTGTTATTTTCACACCTTTCATGGTAAAAGAGCAAATAGGTTTTATAACTGAATTTCAAACCCCAAGAAAAAAAAAACTACCCAAAACAATTATACTAAAAGTACGATGAGAAGAGCTTCCATGGAATCAAATTTGACACTATTGAGGAAACTACAAATTCAGATATCATTAAATAACTGTCACACTCAAGTTTCCAAGAAATAGAATTTATAATACCAGCTTCTGGATTGTAGTAAAGAACTGCTTTAAATTTCTCCGTGATAAAGAGAAAGATCCGAAGAAAAAGAAGAAAAAAAAAAGAAGCCAGTGTGTCAGAATCTTTAACCTGTACCTTCAATTATATATCCAACTTGTGCGTACAATTACACATTCATCATATATCTATTATTAATTCCAGATGCATGATAAATATTCGTATCACAAATATACATAACTTTAATTTCTAGCTTGCTATAGTTTGAAATTTAAACAAACAAGAAAAATGTTAAAGATAAAGTCATCACATTCTTTAGTTCTTTATAAGATTACTTTATTGTTTTAGCTGAATCTGAATCTGATTATCATATATATATATCTAGGTAAAAGATGGTGCAAAAATAGTGTAAAGTAAGTAAACTTAAGGAAAGTTTTTGTACCAAAAGAGATTACAACGTTAGGAAGAAAACAAAACACACACATAATATAATATTACATGCACACACATAGAGTTATACAAAATACACCAAAACAAGTCCATATTTGTAGTACATAAATTACTTGACTCCATGAAAAAACCAGAAAAACAAAGAAGGCTAGAAAAATAAGAGAAAGAAGAAGATGGTCGATTCTACTACCATGTCTGCGTTAATTGATATGAGTGATCGTGATCATAGTTGAAGTTGCGACTAAATATGTTTGATTCATTCCATAGAAATAGTTGATAGTTATAAGAGATGAGTAGTTGAAGAACCTGATAAATCATTCCATGAATAGTATTGTTGTTGGTTATTATGTTCGGAGACACCGAGAGAAGTTCTTGATAAATTTAAACCGCGGTTTTCTTCTCTTTTAACTGGTGGCTCTTGATTAACAACAACCCTAGAGTTTGAAGCTATATGATCTCCAACAAATCCAGTGGCTGCTGCAGCTTCTATAGTTTCTCCTTGAAAATGGTATGAATTGTTTCCACTTGAATTTGATTCGAAAGTATTCATGAAAGGAAATTGCTGCAAGTTACGCCACTGTTCAACTCCAACACCGCCGTCATCACCACCACCGCCACCGCCTACAGCAGCAGAAGCAGAAATAGAAATAGAAGATGAGTTACCGTTACGGTTACCGTTACCATTAGCAACACCAATTTGAAACCCCATATGATCTGAGTTACCGAGACCCATGTTAACGTTTCCAACAACATAACGACTGAGATGATTCTGCATAGAGGTCATGAAGGGTAAGTTGGTGATTTGTTGCGGTAACTGATGACCAATTAGTTCATGATGAGAAGGGATTGCACTTGATGATGAAGTTTGTTTCTCCTGAGAGTTTGCTGAAGTAGGAGATTTTGAACGGTTTCTTTTGTTCTTTTTGTTGTTTCTACGACACCCTCCGCCAACTGGAACATTTCTAAGTGCACCCCCTCTTGTCCAATAACGCCTACATGTCTTACAGAAGTGACGAGGTTGAGTGAGGCTGTAGTTATTGAAGTAGCAAAATTTAGTGTTGGTTGAATCGCAACGAGGACACTTTAGTGCTGGTTCTGGTGGTGGTAGCTTTGCTAAACGAGCTCGATCAGCCATCGAACCTGGTCTGATCGAGCTCATAGTACCACCAATATTACCTCCCACTTGAGGAGGTAAAGGTGGAAGTAGTTGAGTGTTATCGCTTCCATTTTGTTGATGATGATTGTGTTGCTGCAAATTAAAACATATGAAAATAAATTTTAAAAAGGTAATTAAAAAAAAAGAAGAGAGCCTAGTATATTCAAGAAGATGTTGCAAGAATATGAATGATTCATCTTTTTGAAGTTATCTTTTTTGAATATGAATAAATTTGATGAAAATAAAAACTTTACCTGGTGGTGCCAATTAGGTGGATCTACATAACCTTGAATAGAAGAGAAAACCATGGTATTGAAAATCCTTTAATGTTATCTTTTATAAAGTTTTAAAATGGCTCTTTAGGGAGATGGTGGAGAATCAAACCAAGGGAATACAAAGAGAAGAGAAAGAAAAGGAAAAAGAGCATTAAAGGAAGGAGAGGAGGGAGGAAGAAAGCAGAAACAAGAGGCTTTAGTTGTTTACTTTGCCCTTATTCCCTCATTCTCTTATCTCTTTTTGTTTTATTATATTTTTTAGGGTTTTTAGTGGAGGAAGTTTCTTAACCTATAAGCTTCTTTATTTTAATGGGGTTGTGTATGTAAATTTGTTCTTAAAAAGGGGATAGTGGTGGATACCATCCATGCATGGATGAGAGAGAGGAATATCAAGTTATTATGATTACACCTTATATCCCTATCTATGTGTGTGAGTGTAGCAATATGTCTTTTCAAGGTGTACATAGTGGAATCTAATGACATAATCAAGGAAAAGAATTTAGAGCATAACCATCAAGCTCATAGATAATTTGATATTCACATGTTAAAAGATGGACCTCACACGTTGTAGTAGTTTTATTGAATTTCTTATACACGAAATCATTTTTTTAAACGGCAAAATAATAGTATAAAAATATAACTCTTATATTTAGACACCTTAAATTTGTATACACATATTTTTATACTACAACAAATTTTTTTTATATTTTTGAATCTCTCTTAAACTTTCAAGTGAAAAAAAAAGACATTTTTTCCGTAAGATGACAAAGTAGCGTTAGCAACCGAAAAAGACAAGTATAATAACATGTCGACAGTATTAAAAATATAGAAATCGATAGAGTTTTGTGCTCTATCGACTACAATGACAGGTTAGAGGTTGGGTAGTAACAAAAGTCTAGACAGATTTCAGGTTTTATATACTTATTCGTGAATTTGTTTGTTAATGGTCGTATTTTAAACTTTTAAAATTTTGACAATTATATATCATGTTGTCTCTTTTATTGTTAAGTGGTGGTACATAAGGTAGAAATCTCTAAAACAAATTGTATAGTTTTTAACAAAATTCTATCTCGGATAATTATTTCACTGATGTAAAATTTATTACATTACATTATATATATATATATATATATATATATATATATATATATATATATATATATATATATATATATATATATATATATATATATATATATATATATATATATATATATATATATATATATATATATATATATATATATATATATATATATATATATATATGGGGGCATATCAAGTGAGAGGGATTTTAAAATGAGAAATGAGAGGAACAAACAACAACCATTAGATCGTAATTAAACTTATTTATTAATGTAACTATTAATTTCTCTCTCTTATTAACTTGAATTTCATATCTCTTATTAATTTGATCTAATGGTTGTTGTTTGTTACTATCATCTCTCATTTAAAATCACTCTCATTTGATATGCTCCCTATATATATATATATATATATATATATATATATATATATATATATATATATATATATATATATATATATATATATATATATATATATATATATATATATATATATATATATATATATATATATATATATATATATATATATATATATATATATATATATATATATATATATATATATATATATATATATATATATATATATATATATATATATATATATATATATATATATATATATATATATATATATATATATATATATATATATATATATATATATATATATATATATATATATATATATATATATATATATATATATATATATATATATATATATATATATATATATATTCATTTTAATTTTTAAGTCATTTTTCTTTATAATTAATGTTAATAACCGTGGGAAAATATCCTTCAAGGACACATTTTAAATCCCAACACTAAATTTTTTGTTTTTTATTCATTATAAAAGTGTCGTGTTTTTTATTTTTATTTTTAATTTTAAATTAAAATTAAATTACTTTATTCTCAGGCACCTTTAACATATGTGGGCAAATGTTCCTCATCGACACGCTTCAAATTCTATCATCAGTAATTTTATATTTTATTCATTTTAAAGTCAATTCTATCCATGGTTGGTAAAAAGGAAGAACGTGAAAAGTTGTTCCACCTTTAAAAAAAAAAATTAAAGCATATTACCTTCTCCACATTTGAGGTTTTCAACTGAGAAAAAACTTCATTTGTTATGGGTTTGAGTCTCATTGCCAACAATTTTGTGTTTTATTTATAATATAAGTGATCTCTTTAGTTATTAAAAAAACTAAAAATAAAACATAGTTCTCCACCATTGAGAACTCCAACCATGGAAAAAAGTCACCAAAGTTTATTTTTCTAAGATATATAACGCTCAATGTTCAAATACTTTTGCATAAATGAAATCTTTTATGCCCTAAATGAACTTCATCTTCTACCATTAAACTTCATCTTCCATTAACAAAACTCTATTTCTCTAACAAACCAAACTCGAAAACATCATTTTTTCATTACATAAAACTCGAAAACATAATTTCTTCCATTAACGAGTTTCAGAACTCCACAATCTATTCTCAAACTCGAACGAGGCAAAGAAAATATTGATTAAACTTAGCAATGTTAGTTGTTGTTGTTGTTGTTTTTGTTATGTCAGGTAAAATATTTAAAGTTGTTGTTGAGATTTAATGTTTAACGATTCTATTGATTTTGTTTTTGTTTTGTCGCCGTAGTTGTGTTTATTGTTGTTGTTGTTGTTATCGTTGTTGTTGTTTTTATTGCTGTTGAGATTCAATGTTTACCATTTCTATTGATTTTTTTTTTTTATTGTTGTTGTTGATAGTTAATGTTTAACGATTCTATTAATTTTATTTTGTTGTAGTTGTTCTTGAAGTTATTATAATTGTTGTTGTTGTTGTTGGTGATGATGGTGGCGGCGGTGGTGGTAGTGTGTTAGAAATATTGAACATTCTATGTTGTCATGTTAGATTTAATGTATAATAATTCTATTGATTTTGTTGTTGTTGTTTACATGTTGGGATGACGAAATGAAAATCGAAAAGGAAACAATATATTGTGTTGCTTTTTCAATTTTTTCTCATTCACCTTTTATTTGGGTTGCAATATCTTTTCTAAATGATGAAATTTCTTCTTTATTTAACAAGTGGTTATATTTTTATAAAATAGTTATATTAATAAAAAATATTTATGCTTCAAAATAAATTTTATTCAGCCCAAATTTAGTAGAAGCATAGTAACGTCACCTTTCTTTTTTTGAATTAAAAATAAATTGCATTCCATACGGTTGGGAATTCTAATTGTGGAGAAAATTAGAGCGTTACATGTCTTTAAAATTAAGAATTCCAACCGTGGGGAAAAGTCAAGGCGCTACATTTCACCTCAGTTAGAACTCCTATTTGTGGGGAAAAGACAGTCCAATATGCCATTTCAAAAATGCCAAAATGGTTTCGCTGAGATTTAAACCCATGACAAAGCCACTTTTCCCCATGGTTGGCAGACCTAACTATGGAGAAAAGTGGTATGATATCCCATTTTCACCACGGTCATTAGCCCAAGCAAAAAAGTAGCGCACTTTCTATGACACCATTCGTTACCACAGACAATCAACCATTTTGAAACTATTTCCCTACCGAGGTGATAAATACTTTTTATAGTATTGAATCCTAGTGAGAAGTGTCGTGGTAAAAATTGGATACCAAGCTATTAATGAGCTTGAATCTAAATTCATTATAGCCGAACTTTAATTTGTCCAAAGAAAGGGAAAAAGATCGAATTACCCACAATGCAATGCAAATGCAAAAGCTAGAGAGTTATAGGTTCGGGGGTTGGTTAAACTTATGGAAGATGCTAGCATCCTAAGTTTGTGTAGTACTCTACAGAAACCTCTTGTTTTATGTGTGTTTATTGCTAAGGTTTATCTGCTTAAGGGATAAAAGACCTAGTGGTTTATTTTTAAGTATACTCGCCAAGACGTTGCATCTTGTGCCTACATATCCTGACGGAAATGGAATCAGAGTAATTGTAGTTCCCCTAAAGGGTTTGAGTTTTCTTGACTGTTAGTCAAAGTTCCTAAGGGATAAAGGTAGTTGATTGATTGGGTCTAGGAGAGAAGATGAGTTGTCATTTTAAGGGAGATTACTTGATTTAACCGCCACAACTTCGTAGGAAAATAGTTCTTTGTATCGTCTTAAGAGAAGGGCTCAAGTACTCGGATTGTCGACAAGTACGCCTCTATCTCTCTTAAGCAGAAAAGTCCCTACACATTGATTGAATTGTTATGGAGTAGAAGTTTTATCTCACTTAAGATGATTAACAACTTATTCTCTAATATGTTTGAATAGGTTTTGAATTGAGTTGAATTGTTTTATTTTTCTAAGTTGTAAGAAAAGGTTCTTCCTATGGGGTAGGATTTAACTTAAAAGATCGACTTGAATGGGATCAAGGATCAAGGGGAAGATGATGCAAATGATATGCATACGCGCAAGTTTTACATTACGCCCAGGTTCTTCCCTTGGATGTTTATGCGATGCGAGAATGTAAAAGACGAGAAAATAAATTGAGGTAAATAAATGCGGGAAATAAAAGACATACACACGCATGAAAGCGCTAAGTGCGTGAAAGTGAGTGCAAGCGCGCGATGTTAATTTTAGGCGAAGTTGATTAATTTTAAGAAAGGTTGATTTTAAGAAAAAGTTATATTATTTGATTTAAGAAAAGTGTTGACTTATTTGATTTTTGATTATTTAAATAAAAAGTTTGGTTTTAATTTTTTTTAATAAAAGGTTTGGTTGTGATTTGATTTTAAGAAAATTAATAATTAATTTATTAGCAAAAGATTTGAATTAATTTAGATAATAAAGGTTTATTAGATAGAAGGGTTTTATTGATTTTTTCTTATAAAAAAGGGTGATTTATTTTATTAAGATAAAGAGATTGATTTAATTATAAAAGGTTCTTCTTTTTTTATTATTATAAAAAGGTGAAGTTAATTTATTAAGAAAA